CTCGCGTTCTGCTGAGTTGGTTCCCGAACACCGTATGCCTCTGGCGTTAGTGGGTCACTCGGTACTTGCGTATATTTGCTCATTATTGCAGGAGCTCATGAGATGTGCAGCCGGCCATCTTAGCTGCCAGGCCCCGCCCCGTTATTCTTATATCTATAATACCGTGGTGACCTTTTGCTGCTATACTCCTGTGCACTGACTAGTGTAAATCCTGAATACCTTGAGCTAGGAAGCTCATACGCTACCAGCTTCCGAAACAGCTATCAACCATTAATACTCCCACACACAAGATCAAGCTATTCTACAGAGTCATTAGCTGGGATTATACCGCACGAGCGCATATATTTGGAGCTACTTACTATCTCCAAAAAAAAGTGTAAATGCTTTTCCTTTTATTTATCTCCCCAACCATCTAAAAATATCACACCATAGTTCATATTTTTGTCCTCTCTTTTGCATATTGAATTTTTCTGCCTGGATTTTGAGGATACTTTTACGGCGCCGCTTTCCTCTGTCCTTTTTCCATACTTCATTTTTTTGTTAAAAAAGAAAGTTTTGCAAAAACTAAACATATTCTAAGTACAAACAAACAAAAAAAATATGAAACCATTCTGATCTGTGATCTGCACAAGTAGCACCACCTACTGGTTTATTACAGGCATTTCATGGAATATAATTCCTGTCCCCGATGTATAATCTCTAAAGGGTATTTATAGGAAGCAAACATGGGACATTGTACTTTTAGATTTATTAGTTTAGGTGGCTCTGCATTTGCAAGTTTGTAAAATATGTTCCTTAATTTTACAATTTTTTTCCTTGTTTTTCCTTTGTTCATACTATAAACAAATAGAGTTTTTGTCATTATAAAGCCATAATATATCTTAGTAGTAATACATTTAGAATCAATAACTGTGTGAACTGTAACTGATAGGAAATTAATCAAATTAAACAAATATACTTATAGTTGTTAGAATAGCTATGTGCAAGGTGACAGGGTACTTCTGACACCATAACCTATGCAACAAATGTAGTGTGCTTTTTAGAAATGTTATGGCCGAAAATCAATATACCTAAGCAGGAAAAGAAGACCGTACCCAGCTCTAATTATGTTGGGTATCTGGTGATTTTTAAAATATTTTCTAAAACCTGTCTATACAACAAATTAGCAGATAAAAATGTAAGCTGATAAAAGATTAGTTTTTACAGTCATGCTGTAAAGCCATATTCATGTTTGTTTTTGACCTAAAATTTGAAATTTGACTATAGGGCATGTAAAGTCCGCTCCTGGTGAAACGCATTAAGTGTAGTAGTTATTTTGTTTTATTTATCCATTTTATTTCGATCTTTGATTTTATAGTTGTGTTTTTTTTTTTTTTTAAAGTTGACCTGTTTCTGCTGCTGGAATCCTGGGCTATATCCTTGGTGGGGATAATACCACCTGCACCTAATGGATTGACGGGTCTTTTTCAAGATCAATAAATACAAATCATAACAGTGTTTATATACAAAATATGCCATAAAGCACTTACCAAGTGGAAATGTGAAAGCAAGTGTCTCTGTCCGTTACTACCCGGAAGTGAATGAAGACCGGCCGTGACGTCACACAATTCAGACGCACGCCGGAGTAAAGTGGTTGCCATGGGGATAGTACAAACACCTAAACGATCGGGTGCAAGTTAGATGACATGGAGGAGAGTTGTTAAAGAGTTATGTGTAGGGAGATAGAGCAAAGTGAGTGCTAAGTGAAACAATGAAATCAGTGCTCACGCAGTGCAGTGAATGTCTATACCACACAAAGTGATAAACCATGTGAAAAAGCAGTGTTAGACTATATCCAAACACTGATAATTATGCGCATAACAAGGTCACAAATTTATACATTATACTAATAATATTGCTAATCAACTAGATACAAACGATCATAAACACAGTATAACATTCAGATATGTTAAGTTATATGGATGCAAGCTGAGCACTACCCAAAAAGGGAGGAATAGCATGGATCGCAGCCAACTGTTAAATGATTAAATAATAAACATGTAACTTACGTCCCAAAGTAATACTAAAACCCAAATACAGCAAATACTCCAGAAAGGAGAAATAAATATAAGGGGAATTTGCATAAAGCAGTGGTGAGCATCACTACCAATTAAGTACCAAAGTGGGTCTGAAAAGTATCAAACCGACAGGGTAACAAGTATATATAGAAAAACCATCAATAATATCTGTTGTTACACAAACGTATTTGCGCAATGTATCAAAAATAAAAAAATGAAGCATATCTCTAAATAAAGAGTATCCTAATTTGTATGCATCAAGAAACATCGGAAATAAATCATAATTGATACAAAACCAACATAAAAACAGAGACAGTGTCGCAAAAAAATGCCGATATCTTTATGTCATGGTTCGAACATCGATATATCTTTGCAAGATATGATACTAAAATCTTGAAATACTTTAGATTTGTGGATGACATCCTTCTCCTATGGACAACTTCGTATGATGAATTAAAAAAATACTTATCATTCAGCCCAAGTGTTCCAGTTGGAGTTGAATTTAAGCTCCCTGAAAGTGTGAGTGCACAATTTTATTTATCCTTACTTCACAAAAGAGTTTTTACCTGCTACACTATCAGTTTCTTTTGTCTTTATTTTTTTGTCATCGTATACTTTCCCAAAGGGACATTTCAGGCACTACACCAACCTTTTTTGTTTTATCCTATATCCTAGTTTTAGACTTTGTATGTACAAGTAAAATGATTTATAATGATGCATGGCTGTGATGACATCATATAAGCTGCAACGTGATGACGTGTGCTTCTCTTGGCATACAAGGCCCCCATGCTTTTATTCTCACCATTGAAGAGACAGCGATATCCCAAACGCGAAGCCCCGGTAACGAGACACTAATCTGAATCCACCTCTGACAAAAAGAAGACTTTGGTTCCCAAACACAGTGGAATTTCCTTTGTAACAGGAATAGTCCATATAGCCTTGATCATGCACCATTTAGACAGCAACCCTGGTTCCCATCAACGGGGTGAGACATAAACCATATCTATATTTCAAAATAGTTTTTTTTCCAAATGCTACAGTAAGGAGGACAATTATTCTGATAAATTGGATAAGTTTGACTTGTTTGTTTTTGTTCATATTATAACCAGTTTTTTTTTTCTTTGCTTTATGTATAATGCTCATTTCTGAAATACTGAATTTGGATATAACAATATTTTGTAGATCTACCCTTTATTAATATTTGGATAGTAGCCAATTTATCTTGCTCGCATTTTGTTTTTCTGTGTGCATTATCCCAGAATAATTTGGAAATCTATTTATTTCCAAAGGAGAAAACACCTAAGAGCAAGACTAACAAATTTTCCACCACGACAGAGAACAGAATATTGTGGAATACCGCTATATAACGGAATATTGTTTCATACTCACCATTAATTTCCTTTCCTGGTAATGGGTCGTGGTGGCACTCTTCCAGGGTTAGATACTCCCATCACTCCCACTGGATAGGACTACATTTTAGCCTGTAAAGGCAACATAATACCCCAGTTCATAACAGGCCAACAACCAGGGAGGGTGTGTAGTGCTGCCATGGCCCATTACCAGGAAAGGAATATATCAGTAAGTATGAAACAATTTTCCATTTTTTTCGGCCATGGCAGCAGCACTTTAGGGCAATGCCCATTCTTGCAAACTGCCTGTTCTAGAAGTTGGCCATCATGTCGATCTCTGGAAGATCCCATCAGTGTACCAACATCAATAAGGCCAATTTTGCTAGACACCATTCAACTGGCAAGATTTGGTGTCTGTTCAGGAAATTCACCTTGATGTTCACATAACCTGGCAGATATATTGCACATAGCCCCAGAAGGTGTTTTGTGTCTATTTTATTAGGAGCATCATGATACTCATCATCCTCTGAGTACCCCCTTGGTGGTTCACGTATGCCACCACTGCAGTGTTGTTCACCTGAAGTTTCACCAAATGGTGTTGGATTTCTGACTTTAGGTGATGCAAGGCCTTGAAAACCACCATCACTTCTAGGTAACTGGAAGATGCTCCTCGGAGAGATACTTGCCATCACATAAAACCTTGCTGTAATATTGTGGAGACAAAGCATTCTTCTGAGCTTCTCTCTCAACCGATACCTTCTATCTTCTGATAGACGCACCAACCCTAGATTTGTATCGAGCCAGGTGCCCAGAGAGACTATCTGCTGACTGGGTTGAATTTGACTCTTCTGTAAACTTACAACCCAACCATGATTCTTCCAGATCGATCTGGCCATGTCTTGATGGGCAATAAAGGATGGGTAGTTCTTTGCCAACATCAGAATGTCATCCAAGTAGTGGAAGATACCCTTTTTCCTGATTTCTGCATTTAGGGAAACAAGGACTTTGGAGAACACCCTGGGAGCCGAGCTTAAGCCAAATGAAAGGACCCTGAACTGCCAGTGTCTGTTGTTCAGACAGAATCTCTGGAAACTCTAATGTATCCTGGCAATTGAGATGTGGAAATAGGCATCGTTGAGATTGATGGAAATCAACTAATCACCTGGAGATACTACTTGGATGATCAAGATTAATGATTCTATCCCAAATCGTCTGGCACACAGAAAGGTATTTAGGATGGACAAATCCAGGAGTAGTCTTCATCCATCATCGCCCTTTGGGGCCAGAAAGAGCCTTGTGTTAAATCCATGAAATCATTCTTCTCTGGGAAATTGACAGATCACTGATTGTTGGGACAGCAAATCCATGAATTCTAGAAGCGCCCCTTTTTTCCTAAATCTTCTGGAAAAGAAGGCCTGAAGACTTTTCCTGAAGGAGGTCTCTCCTCAAATCCTAGTAGATCAGCTTTGGAGACCAAGTGTGGCTCCGATAACCTGAGAAATCAAGCAGTCTGGAGCCTGATCCTGGAAAATGAGCCTGGAACAGTCAGCATCTTTTATTCTGCCTGGCAGATGACCCTCTGTCACTACTACCTCTAAGAGAGGATTGACCGGTCTTCCAGGTTTGTATTGCCTTGAGTCTCTGTAAGACCTTTTGTCAGCATTAGAGGATCTCCTGTTGCTCCGGTTACATGGCAATAAGGCTTTAGTGCGTTCTGCAGTCTATTTGATGCTCTTATCCAGCTGATGTCCGAATAGCATGTCACCCTGAAAAGGTAATAAAGAGAGAAGGTAATAAGCATCCAAGGCCTTAATTCAGAGTTCTCTACAGCCAGCAACATTCATGGACATGGATCAAGTATCTGCAGAAAGACTAATGTCTTCCACAGCTTGGAGGAGACGTGATCTACTTATCAAATCCCTGATGTCAGCTTCCAGATCCTATGTCCATTGTTTAAGGAGCTGGGTAACTGGAGTTCAGGCTGCTGTTGAGTGTAGACTAGTTCCTTCTGCAACGTAGGCCTTTGACAGATTAATATCCATCCTCTTCTCCATAGGTTCTCTCAGAAAGCCAGACTCATCCAGAGGCAAGGTGGCTTTCTAGACCAGCTAGACTACTGCCACATCCACCAAGGGAGCCGAGATCCAAGAGGCAGAATCAGCTTTCTTAAATGGGTATAGCTTGGACCACTTACCATGAAAACTGACCCCGTTTCTCTGACTTAGCCTATTCATCATGGAGGAGATGGTCTCATGGAGGGGAAAACCACTTTATTTTCACTTGAGGCTAGCAAAGTGCTTGCTGCATGAAGGTTCTTGAACTGAGGATTCCTCCAAGTTTAGAGTCTTCCTCACTGCCTCAATGAGAGTTTCAGTTTTTCTTTCACCAAATCCCCCCCGAATATGGGAACGCCTCATCATCAGATGACACTGGATTTTCAGTATGAAAAGAGCCCTCCCATAGAGCTCTCACTGTCCAATATGTCTCCTCACGTATGTTTAGAATACCTAGTAGATTGAGTGGCTTCTTTAACACCTTCTGCCCCAGCCTGCTTGATGAAGGCAATAACATCGGCTGGATTGGCAGTCGTAAGATGAGTTACTGGTGGCTCAGCACCAGTTTCATGCAGGTCATGCATAGCCACATCATTACATGCATTGCACCTATTAGGCCTCCTGTTTGCAGGTAAAACCAGGGACCTAGCTGGTGAAGTCAATGAGACAATTCCTGAGCAGCTGGAAAAAGACCACCCATTAGGGACTCCTATCCAGATAGAGATATATATATATATATATATATATATATATACACTGCTCAAAAAAATAAAAGGAACACAAAAATAACACATCCTAGATCTGAATGAATTAAATATTCTTCTGTAATACTTTGTTCTTTACATAGTTGAATATGCTGACAACAAAATCACACAAAAATAAAAAAATGGAAATCAAATTTTTCAACCCATGGAGGTCTGGATTTGGAGTCACACTCAAAATTAAACCCTTAAGGACCAAACTTCTGGAATAAAAGGGAATCATGACATGTCACACATGTCATGTGTCCTTAAGGGGTTAAAGTGGAAAAACACACTACAGGCCGATCCAACTTTGATGTAATGTTCTTAAAACAAGGCTCAGCAGTGTGTGTGGCCTCCCCGTGCCAGTATGACCTCCCTACAACGCCTGTGCATGCTTATGATGAGGTAGCGGATGGTCTCCTGAGGGATCTCCTCCCAGACCTGGACTAAAGCATCTGCCAACTCCTGGACAGTCTGTGGTGCAACGTGACATTGGTGGATGGAGCGAGACATGATGTCCCAGATGTGCTTAATTGGATTCAGGTCTGGGGAACGGGCGGGCCAGTCTATAGCATCAATGCCTTCGTCTTGCAGGAACTGCTGACACACTCCAGCCACATGAGGTCTAGCATTGTCTTGCATTAGGAGGAACCCAGGGCAAACCGCACCAGCATATGGTCTCACAAACCGCACCAGGGCAAACCGCACCAGCATATGATCTCATCCCGGTACCTAATGGCAGTCAGGCTACTTCTGGCGAGCACATGGAGGGCTGTGCGGCCCCCCAAAGAAATGCCACCCCACACCATTACTGACCCACTGCCAAACTGGTCATGCTGGAGGATGTTGCAGGCAGCAGAACGTTCTCCACGGTGTCTCCAGACTCTGTCACATGTGCTCAGTGTGAACCTTTCATTTGTGAAGAGCACAGGGCGCCAGTGGCGAATTTGCTAATCTTGGTGTTCTCTGGCAAATGCCAAACGTCCTGCACGGTGTTGGGCTGTAAGCACAACCCCCACCTGTGGACGTCGGGCCCTCATAGAGTCTGTTTCTGACCGTTTGAGCAGACACATGCACATTTGTGGCTTGCTGGAGGTCATTTTGCAGGGCTCTGGCAGTGCTTCTCCTGTTCCTCCTTGCACAAAGGCAGACGTAGTGGTCCTGCTGTTGGGTTGTTGCCCTCCTACGGCCTCCTCCACATCTCCTGATGTACTGGCCTGTCTCCTGGTAGTGCCTCCATGCTCTGGACACTACGCTGACAGACACAGCAAACCTTCTTGCCACATCTCGCATTGATGTGCCATCCTGGATGAGCTGCACTACCTGAGCCACTTGTGTGGGCTGTAGACTCCGTCTCATGCTACCACTAGAGTGATAGCACCGCCAGCATTCAAAAGTGACCAAAACATCACCCAGGAAGCATAGGAACTAAGAAATGGTCTGTGGTCACCACCTGCAGAACCACTCCTTTATTGGGGGTGTCTTGCTAATTGCCTATAATTTCCACCTGTTGTCTATCCCATTTTCACAACAGCATGTGAAATTGATTGTCACTCAGTGTTGCTTCCTAAGTGGACAGTTTGATTTCACAGAAGTGTGACTGACTTGGAGTTACATTGTGTTGTTTAAGTGTTCCCTTTATTTTTTTGAGCAGTGTATATACACACACACACACACACACGACAAAATTATAAACACAACATTTTTGTTTTTGCCTCCAAGACTTTTTCGATGTACACAATAGGCCTCTCAAATATATTTGGCAAATCTGTCTAAATCTTTGTTAGTGAGCACTTCTCCTTTGCCGAGATAATTCACCTCACAGGTGTGGCATATCAAGATGCTGATTAGACAGCATGATTATTGCAAAGGTGTGCCTAAGGCTGGCCACAATAAAAGGCCACTCTAAAATGTGGTTTTATTACACAGCACATCTTTGAGTTCAGCTCATGAAAAATGGGGGCAAAACCAAAAGTATTGCGTTTATGAGTGTGTGAGTGAGTGTCCCCGTCCAAAATAGTGTAGAGATAGGACTCCAAAGATATTAAAAATAAAATGTAGGGGGCGTGGCCTGGCGACGGTGCTGAGCGGCCGCATGTACTGAGCGCTCCGCTCCGACAGGACCCACAGGAGCAATAAGGCGGCTGCAGCCGACGATAAAACCGGGGACACTTATCCCCAAGCAAGCATGTCTCAGGCTAAGGGGAAACGGCAAATAGAAAAGGCCGAAAAAAACGCTTTTTTCACCTCCCGGACGCCGCAGGGGAAGCAGGCCTTGGTGCAGGATGAAATCCAAGATGGCGCCGAAGACCAGGATGAACAGCATAGTAAGTCCCCTGAGAACGAAAACCCTGTCACACAGCAGGTAATGCGGACACTACTAGAAGAAATGTCTGCCAGGCTGGAAAACAGCTTTAAAACAGCAATAGGGGCCATGCATAAAGATATCCAAGAGCTGGAAGTGAGAACAACCGGCACAGAAAAAAAAATGGAGGAGCTAGTGAAGCACATAAAGGTATAGAGGGAGAGGTGGAAGAGATCCGCAGCCAAATGAAAATGTATGAACTAAAGCTTGCTGATATGGAAGACAGAGCCCGCAGAAACAATCTAAGAATACGTGGGATAAAGGAGGAAGTGGGACAAGCAGAACTGGCAACTTATTTGACTGCCATGTTGAAAAAACTAGCACCTGATATACCAACAGATCAATTGCTGATGGACAGATACCATAGAACAGCTAAACCCAGCTTCCTGCCACAAGACACCCCGAGAGATGTCCTCATAAAGATGCACTATTATCACGTAAAAGAAGTGATACTCCAAACGAGCAGGGCGAAGAAGAAACTCCCCGAACCTTATGGGGGATTGCTGATCTTCGCGGACATATCATCATATACACTAAAAAGAAGGAGGGACTTCAAGGACATCACGGAACAGCTCAGGACCCACAAGCTCCCTTACCGGTGGGGATACCCGGTGAAAATCCTGGTGTCCAGAGGCGGGAAGATATCGGCCATAACAACACCTGAGGAAGGATCTCGATTGCTACAGCGTTGGGGCATAGCCGAGCAGAGCCAGAGAAGAAGCCCGAATAGGACAGGCGGTTCCTCCACGAACTGGAGAAAAGCCTGAAAGACTATGTCATTGGACTCATAGACTGCATACTATACCAAGTGATTGTGGTGAGAAAGGTCATGATGCAACGACCATGGAGGAGCGTAAGGGTATCGTATAAAACTAAGCGACTTACTGAGGTTATGACACAGTTAGATAAATTGAGGAAAAAAAAAAAAAACCACACACACAGTTTTAACTGTTTACGTATATAAGACCTCACAAGTGGTAAATCACTCCAGTAGGGTAGCCTGGGACCAGACTGCCTAGACGCCATGACAACCATGACGGCACAGGAGTGGGCCAAGTCGGGGAAGCACCCCATCAAGAGGAAGTAGTAGTACTTCCACCCCCCAGAGGTACTAAATAGTACCTATGCCACATACGGCACACGTCACATTTTTGTTAAGTTCATTTACCCTGTTACTGTTATGTTCCCAATTTCCCCCCGGTCTGGCTGGGACCGGACAATATATAACCTTCCCCATATGCCCGCAGGACGCTTATACGAAACATCAAGCACAAGGGACTCTGGTACCCAATAATGTCCGCAAGGGCTCCCAACCACCCACGAATAGGCGAGAGAGGGGTGCCCGAATCTTACCCTCCAAGAGGGGGAAATCGCTCGACTTGATGCTGCTGGGGCGAGCGAACTCCCCGCACAGGTGCTTACAATTCAGTATGTCCCTTACTAAACTAACGGGGTACAGACCCCCATGAAAATATACTCGTTAAATGTTAGAGGGTTAAACCTACCGGTTAAGAGACACCAATTGTACAGAGACCTTAAACAAGCGGATGCGGACGTTGTTTGTATACAAGAGACGCATTATAGGACCGATGACTATATCCCACCATCTGTACACGATTACCCACACCAATACCATGCGGCTTCCACTACAAAGTCCAAAGGGACTTCCATACTAATATCTAAAAGAGTGGCTTTCACAATGATTTCAGTAGAGCTAGACACAAATGGGAGATATGTTATATTGAAATGTACGATTAACAACATGCTGTACACCATCACGAATCTTTATTCACCTAACACAAATCAGGGCGGGTTCCTACAACACCTGTTACATAAACTGTCCACAATTCAAGAGGGAATGTCCATTATATGCGGGGACTTCAATCATGTGTGGGACCCAAAGTTGGACTCCAATACCCCACGCCACAGCCCAAGATATAAAATACTACACAGACAATGTAAAAAAATACAAAACCTCCTATCCCTACACCACTACTTTGACACATGGCGGATAGCCCACACATCGGAGCGGGCATATACCCACTTCTCACATGTCCACAACACATATTCAAGGATCGATGGGATCCTAATCCACGGACAGGCCCTTAACCAAATGGCTGACTGCGAAATAGGCCAAATCACTTGGTCAGACCACGCACCAATTACGCTGACGGTCAAAGACCAATATGATTATAAACAACGCAGCCCATGGCGGTTGAATGCCTCCTTACTGTATGATAGCACATTTAAAAAGGAAATAGAGGCCACAATCTGTAACTACTTCTCAGAAAATACCACTCCAGATGTGTCTAAGGGCACAATCTGGGCGGCACACAAGGCAGTAGTTAGAGGGGTCTTCATTAAAAGGGCATCATACCTGCACAAACAGTCCTCATCCCAAATTACACAATGGAGACGGGAGCTATACCAGCTGAACACACAGAACCAACACTCACCCTCTAATGCCATTAAAATG